ATGAAGAAAAAGCTGTCACTCAACGTGAAGCTACAAGGGGTTCCATTATCTATGGAACTAGACACAGGGTCTGCCCTGTCCATCATTTCATTGCATACATTTAGGAAGATTTGTTCCAGAAGTGGGTCTAAGGCCAAGTTAAGGCCTTCTGATATTGTATTAACAGATTTTCAGAACTCAAGAGTGTGTGTTAAGGGGGAGGCCACCCTTAACGTGCAATACAAGAGTTTTGAAGGTCCACTAGACTTATTAGTAGTAGGGGGTGAACGAACGAGTCTCATAGGACTCGATTGGTTTGAGGCCCTGGGGATACACGTCACAGGACTCAATAGCTTACAAACACTCGACCTACAGGAAGTCTGCACAGAATTTGCAGATGTTTTCAGCCCCCAGCTGGGCACATTCAAAGGACCACCTGTGTCCTTAAAGCTAGACCCCACTGTCACTCCCATTAGGATTAAAGCAAGAAGGGTCCCTTTTGCTTTAAAAAGTAAGATTGACACTGAACTAGACAAACTAATCCAACAGGGAATCCTAGAACCTGTTGATTCCAGCCCGTGGGAGACCCCCATTGTCACGCCTCTAAAGGCAAATGGGGACATTCGCATTTGTGCTGATTACAAATGCACACTCAATAAGGCATTGCAGCAACATGCCTATCCTGTTCCTGTGGTCAGTCACATCCTGGCCTCTCTCAAGGGGGGGCGTGTTTTTGCAAAGCTTGACCTAGCTCAAGCATATCAACAGCTGCCTGTTGATGATGATGCTGCCATAGCTCAGACCATTGTGACCCACAGGGGTGCCTTTAAAGTAAAAAGGCTACAGTTTGGAGTGAATGTCGCTCCTGGGATTTTCCAAAGCGTTATGGAAAACACACTACGAGGTATACCAGGGGTCTGCCCCTACTTTGACGATGTCTTGATTGCAGGAGACTCCACACACATTCTAGCTGAAAGGCTTAGGGCTGTCCTGTTAAGATTCAGGAAATCAGGCCTCAAGCTCAGAAAAGACAAATGCCAGATTGGGGTGCCTTCTACTGAATTTCTGGGATTCAAAATTGATGCTGCTGGGATTCATCCTGCTGAATCCAAACTAACTGCTATTTTAGATGCACCCAGGCCAAAGTCTAAGGCCGAACTTCAGGCCTTTCTAGGCCTCCTGAATTTCTACAATTCTTTTCTTCCACATAAAGCTAGTGTAGCTGAGCCTCTTCACAGGCTACTAGACAAACAGGCTGTGTGGCTGTGGTCACAAGCGCATGAGGCTTGCTTTAAAGAAGTCAAGGCCTTGCTCACTTCTAACAGTGTTCTTGCACATTTCAACGAGTCTCTCCCTGTGTGCATCGCTTGTGATGCGTCCCCCTACGGGGTTGGAGCTGTCCTGAGTCACCTCAGGTCTGATGGAACTCAGGTTCCTATTGCATACTACTCCAGAACACTGTCTTCTGCCGAGCGCAACTACGCTCAGATAGACAGGGAGGCTCTGGCTGTTGTTGCTGGAATTAAAAAATTCCACGATTTTCTATATGGCAGGCATTTCACGGTCTTCACTGACCATAAGCCTCTGCTGGGACTGTTTACCACACGTAAGCAGACTCCCCACATCATTTCCCCTAGAATGCTTAGGTGGTCTATTTTCTTGTCTGCATATGATTTTTCATTACTCCACAAGCCTGGGAAAGAAATGGGCCATGCTGATGGCCTCAGTAGATTGCCTCTGCCAGTAGTAGAAGCTGACCCCGCGCCAGCTGTCAACATTCTATCAATCCAAGCCTTGCCCGAGCTCCCTCTTAGTGCCAGGGATGTTACCGCTGAAACAGGTACAGATCACACACTTTCACGTGTCCGCTCCTGGGTCCTGTCCGGGTGGCCTGAGCACTGCCCTAGTCCTGAGTTTCAGAGTTTCTGGTCCAAAAGAACGAACTGTCCCTTTCTCAGGTTGTCTGCTTTGGGGAAACAGAGTTGTCATTCCACCTCAATGAGGACTAGGGTCTTTAGAATCCCTCCACGAGGGTCCATCCTGGCATTGTTCGTATGAAGGCTCTTGCACGCAGCCACTTGTGGTGGCCTGCTTTAGATAAAGATATTGAGGCTAAGGTACACGCATGCCACATGTGCCAACGATCTCGCCCAGAGATGCCCCAAGCTCCTGTGCATAAATGGGAGGAAACACAGTCCCCATGGTCTAGGGTGCACATTGACTACGCTGGGCCCTTTCAGGGCCAGTTTCTTCTTGGTCCTTGTTGACAGCCATTCAAAATGGCTTGAGGTTGTGCCTGTCTCATCCACCACCACTGCAAAGACTATTCAGGTACTGAGGGGGATTTTTGCTGCACACGGGCTGCCAGATGTCATTGTGTCCGACAACGGCCCTCAATTCACCTCCTCCGAATTCCAAGCTTTCTTACAGGCAAACCTGATTCGTCATGCCACGTCTGCGCCTTTTCACCCGTCCACCAACGGTATGGCTGAACGCATGGTGCGCATCGCAAAGGACGCCTTGAAGAGACTCACCTACGGGGACTGGCATCACAGGTTGCTGACTTTCTCCTTTCTTATCGCACCACAACCGTCCACTTCTACAGGGAGAAGTCCAGCTGAACTTCGTTGGGGGCGCCAACTTACTACTAGACTTGACCGGTTGCATCCGGACAGACTGCCTTCATCTACCTCACATCCTAGGGCACCTAGACAACTACTTGTGGGTGCCCCGGTTTGGGCTCGCAATTACGGGCCTGGTCATACATGGGTCCCCGCTTCTGTGTCCAGGATCACAGGTCCTCTCTCCTACGAGGTTGCCCTGGACAACGGTCGTGTCCTGCGTCGGCACATCGACCAACTTCGCTCTAGGCGAGACTTTTCTGCTGAGACTCCTGGGTCTTTTCCAGGGGGGGAGGGGGACCCTTTGGAGCAAAGGGAAGGGCAAGAGCTACTGCCCATCTCCACTGAGGGAGCCACAAACGGCTCGTCCCAAGGTTCTGCAATTGCTCCGAAAAGGAAGTCATGGAGCTTACCCACACAACAGGCACTCACGCCTACTCCAGCCAGGGAGTCACCCCGGGGGCATACTCACTTTCCACACACATCACACAGCACTCCAGCAACGGAGGATACCCGGGGGCATCCCAACAAATCATTCCCCGCAAGAGAGCTGGCACACAATCCCCAAAGTTGGCCTGACCTTACCCCAAATCCTACAGGGGGTCAAACATACACAGAGCTAGTCGAGGAACCAAGTCCCGACTACAACAACCCTAGCACAAATCAGGGAACACCTGAGTTTTGGGAAAGTACAGAACCCCACACGAGCCCGAACACAGAATGGGGTTCAGGGAATGGACAGCCTCCTGACAGGTCTTGGACTGACCTAGGAGGTTCTACAGAGACGCCCAGCAGCGGCTATCACTTCAAGGGGCCTGAGGGTCTACAGCTAGGTAGGTCAACCAGGTCACAAAGTAACAGAAGCCCTGGCCTGACGAGCCCGGTGGGCAAGCAAGCAGGCCAGGCATCGGGGCACAGTCCTTGGAAGACACCAGGGCACAATAGAGAGAACAGGCTCACGCCTCCCTCCAGTCAGGGGACTTATGCCAGTAACCCAGAGCTAAGAAGGTCACAGAGAGCAAAGAAATCTCCTAAGTATCTAGAAGATTACATAACATTGCTGGCAAGGCAAAAGCCAGTAATCAGTGGGAGCACTGGGGAGCAAAATGTCATATAAAATAAATGTTGTATGTTGGTAGTAGTTTTAGCCCGGGGGAAAGGGGTGTTATGTCCCGAGCCTTGCAAACGGCTCGGGCGTTTGCAGGCAGTCCCGGGCAGGTGCAAAGCTGCCCGGGACCAGACAGGCTGTCGCCAGCGCCGTGCGCATGCGCGGGTGCTGGCGCGGGAAAAGTAACCCATTTACCCGGGAGTTGCCTATATAAGAGGCTGCGAGGCGTTTGGGCGAGGCTGAAGCCATCTTCCTGTAAGCTGAACGCTGAATAAATGAAACTGAGAACTCCAGCTGCTTCTCGTGTCTGTTTTCCCGCCACGGACTCAACAGTGCGCATGAAGGTTGTGAAAGCCAAGGGCCTGTTCTCTGTCTCCTCCAGCTCAAGACAACCAAACACATAGGATAATGCTCAGCAATCATGCCTCAGCAAGGAGGGAACATATGTGTACCAGCTTTAAGTGGACAGTAGGATCCCCATCATTGTATGTTGAAATCAATCATATCTATGGTAAACAAATCATATTTATCATCATAAGTAGAAAAAAATTGTCTTAGCAGAAAAGGGAAAATATTCATTTTTAAACCAGAATAGCTAAAGATGATTTTAAGCTGCTAAGATGAGAGCACAGATGAGACAAATGAATGTGATGAGAATTTACTGCAGAGTTATTCCGCTTGGCAACTTTAAGACATGTGGACTTCAACTCCCAGAATTCCCCAGCCAGCTGGAGAATTCTGGGAGTTGAAATCCACACATCTTAAAGTTGCCAACATTGGACACCCCTGACTTACTGGTTTCTATTCTGTGATTAGGAGAACCTGAAGATGAGTACTTAGAAAAAAAATTTTTTTTCCCAGTTCTCCTTTTCCGTAGATATGTTTATACAGTTGTTCTCTGGAGGGCTTGAATGGCAATCCTTGTTCTTTCTCTATCATCCTGACAGCCTTGAGGATACAAGTTGCTCAGGTATCTCATATGTCATGTGTCTCATATGACTTCTTTTCCAGGAAATATAAATGAAAGTAAGGTTTCTTTTAAGGGTGTGCTATAGAAATTACACACCATTTTAAATATAAGTCTTCCTTGGATTGTTTTAAAAAAATGCCAGCATCTTTGCTATTTCCTCTCCTCTAACTGGGTGCTTGGCTGACATCCCAGCCACTGTTTAATAAGTGAATAACTGTTGTCATGGCTGCTATAGCAAAGAAAAAACAACCCTTGGATTGAATGAGCATGATTCATTCTTAAGTTTCTTTCCATCAACAGCTCTTCTATACTCAGAGGCAAAATGGCAAGCAGCCAGATTTTCTAAGATCCTCAATGATATGGAGAATTTAAGAGATGATGAAGGCCAGACAAGGAGGCAAAGAACGCTTTCAGCCTTTCCCTCCATCTGCAGTGTATTTCTATTTTAGTAATACTAGAAAAAGGCTAGTATTTTCATCTGACACAGTTGCAGTTACTAACTAAAGATGTCTATCTAGGCATACATAGGAATATGTGATGTGATTGTATCCAAAGGTAAGAATAATTCAACTCTGATTTTTAGATTCTGCTAATACTGACACTGACCTTTTAAATTGTTCGTCCATTCTAATTAGGAGACAAATATTTATTAAAAATAGAGAAGGAAACATTTGTTTTAAATAAGCCAGAAATGACTGCGCATTCCACAGTTTATTTACAGGGACACTTTTAATATCTTGGACTAGTTCCCAGACTCATCTTTCTATTTTTGGCTCTGCTTGGTTCCAGTGGTAAGTGAAAGTGAGAATAACATTGCATTTCCAGATGTAACTGTAATAATTCTTGGAAGATATACTGTACCTGGAAATATCTCTTCCAAATGGTATAAATGATGACTGTTGCCAAGAGATTAAGTGAAGTAAGAAAAGTCTTCTTCTTTGTATTCCCCCACTCTTCCCATTTACAGATACGACTGCACGTATCCACAGGAATATCAGTTTTAGGCTTTGGGTGAAAAGGGTAGAAGTCTATGGCTGAGGGTGGCATTTTGAATCTCCATTATGATGAAAGAATGGAGAGAACTTGGCAAAACCTAAAATACATTATTGTCCTCATAGATGTTTGGAGGAAGAGCAGAAATGCCTTCGGGGGGGGGGTTCCATTGAAGGGCAAGGAGTTCTCCAGCTATTCTAACTAGGGAAGAAACAACATGTCCATTTATCATTTAAAGTTGTTTTATTATTAAATTTCATCCCTACCTCTCAGTTTATATAAACATTCAGCCCACTAGGAAGACCAGATCAAGAAATCAACTCCACAGAATTCCTTCTCCTTCTTATACTTTGATAAATTAGGGAGGTGTCTATCTGAACTGCTTACACACACTAACTGTCTTTTGTGGTTTTAAAAATATTTTTATCTCTTATTCCCTAGATCTTGCATCATGCATTTCTCCATCAGAATTATCTTCTTTACTCTCGTAACAACTTACAATAATACAGTATATTTTAGTTTTTGCCAGGTTCTCTCCATTCTTTCATCATACTGGAGATTCAAAATGCCACCCTCAGCCATAGACTTCTATCCTTTTCATCTGAAGCCTAAAACTGATATTCCTGTGGATACGTGCAGACGGGGACATCTGTAAATGGGATTGTACAAATTAGATAACTGTTATACTGGGTTTCATTTCAGTCATGAATCATAACACAACTGAGGCAAATCACATCATTTTCCAAATGAAATCTTGACATATGTGATGCCATGTTTTCTCCTTAAGAAAGCAGAAAAACACTACAAATTTCTGATATTAGAAGTTTCGGATTGTCTGGAATATTTTGCGTGATAGCTGAAACATGTGAGGGCCTCTTTCCTGCCGATATTTGTCCATATGATTGCAGGAAAACCTATATTGGTATAATGACTGTCAGGTTGGAGGTAAGCAGCTCCAACATCAGATACATCAGTACTTCCTGTTATGGTTGCACTTCTAAAATGAGCTCAGTTTCTCATTTTTCCAATAGATAACCCAATTTGTCCCTTTTCATGCCAATCTCAATGACAATTTGCAGTGATTTTAACATTTGTATTTATGAATTGTATATCTTTGTTGCATGTTCATTGTTTTTGACCAACCCTAAAGCTGGCATTTTCATGACCTTTCTTTTTGAGAAAGATGTAGGATTTGAAATAAGGAAACTCAGTCAGGGGGAAAAAGTAAAACATGAAAATATATTGACATCGTTTGCAGAATATCTGAGAGGTTGGCTTTCTTTGCTATCTTCAGAGACATTTTGGAGTTTCAGGATCTTCAGAAATATATTATCTGTTAAACTCCCTTCCAAGGGGGCTTATCTCTACCAGAGTACTGCAGGAGAGTAAATATATTTGAATTGTAAAGTTCTGTTTTATCGAATAGATTTAACCTTTATTTGTTTTGATTGATCTTATAGTGTTAATTCTGTACTTTTGAAAAAAAGGTGAGTGCTAGTTATAAAAGTTTTTAAATGTTACATTATTATTTTGTTTATTGCTTACCTGAGGAAAAGAGGGAATGAATAAAGATGCTTTAAACATGTGACTTGCTTAAAATAATACCCATTTATTGGTAAATGCTTTAGTTGGTTGGGAAGTTGATTGTTCCAAGTTTTTTTTTTTTAAGTGGCTGAGCTGTTTAATTGTAGCTGGGAGTGTTTCAAATACTCTGTTGTAACCTTTGAACTGATTTAGTGCAAATGGCTTGTTTTAAAATATGATTATTTCCATCATGCAATGTTTGCTGAGGTTGCATCATAGGTGCTCTTTGTTTTCACAGAGAGCCAGAGTTATAAAAGAAGAGGAAGGCAAATATGGAAAAAAATGACTCTGTTTCTTCATTTGTTTTGATACACAAAGCTGCAACCTGTCCACTATTTCTATATATTTTCTGGTATTTTTATTTCCTGAGACCTACAGTACATGAAGATTGGCAGAATTAGGCTAGCTGGATAATTCATTACTTTAAATCAGTGGTGTCCAACTTTGGCAACTTCAAGACTTGTGGACTTCAACTCCCAGAATTCTGGCTGGCTGCTGGGAAATTCAGGGATGTCCACACACTTCAAGTTGCCGAGGTTGGACAACCTTGCTCTAAATAATACATTGTCCATGGTTTTCCCCAAATTACCAGGCAACGTATCCATATCTATAAAGATACTTAACATAGTAGGAATGATGAGTTATTGGTGGAACCAAAATGCTACAGGACCTTAGTTTGCCAAAAGGTGCTTTAATTCTTCTTTCAGGGAAGGGTGCATTTCTGTCTGCACATTTATGTATAGATATTGCATTTCCTTGTGAGCCTCCAGAAATGCTGGATTGCACAAAGGAGCTTATATTTACCCCGCCTATCTTATTTCTTTAAGAATTTATCGTTAGCACAAAGGTCATTCAGGTACTAAGAAATCATATGCTGTTACCATGGGAAGGCAATGAACTGTTACTATGGCAACATGGAATAGCTGAGCAAGTTGTTGTGTAAACTGAAACTGCAAACATATATTGTCAACAACATTGATGGTATTAACACTGCCCTTCTCTTGAAAAACAGATTCTTGAATGGGTTTTGCAATATTATTTTAGAGACTACTAAGTAAATATGTAGGACTTGCTGATTACGGCAGCTAACTATTCTATTTTTATAAAACAGAGCTGTAAAAATTCAGCTATTGTCCATCTGTCCTTTCAAAAACAGCATATAGCCTGGTGTACTTTAAACCCTAATAAATGTATTGCAGCAGCATCTTTTGTGGATGATACTCCACCTATCTACATATAAAATAATATTCTGTTGAGTTATGAGAACAAACGCATAGCCACAATAGGGAGTGTAGTCCCAGCAGCATAGGTACACTTCCATGGCTACCTGAGAAATTCTTGAGTTACTGGAGTTTAATTATAAATATTGAATTAAAAATAATTAAATGGGAAATCTGGCATGCTACAAATAGTTTCATCTTTATTTACATCATGTGATCAATGGACCTCACACCAACCCCATATCCATTCTTAGAAAATAAAAGTGTGAAGATTAAACAGGGTCAAAGAGGAACAGAAAAGCAAAAGGTGATAATTACTCAATAGAAAAAAAATGGAAATCGTAATTCTATATTTTTTATTTCATTTCTACTTTCTTGTTCTTATTTTCTATATATTTTTTTCTTAATCTTTTAATACAATATACTTTTATTTCATTGGAAAATTCATTTTGTGTGTGTGTGTTTTTGTGTGTGTGTGTGTGATTAAGTGAATATAACCTAATTCTTTCTTTAAAATCTACTCATCTGAATTTGTTGTAGTAGTTAAGGCACTAGGCCAGGGGTAGGCAACCTTGGCTCTTTTATGACTCGTGGACTTCAACTCTCAGAATTCCTGAGCCAGCATGGAATTCTGGAAGTTGAAGTCCACGAGTCATAAAAGAGTCAAGGTTGCCTACCCCTGCACTAGGCTATAAACCAAGAGACTGTAAGTTCTAGTTCCACCTTATCCATAAAAGCCAGCTTGGTGACTTTGGGCCGGTCACTCTATCTGAGCCCAGCCCACCTCACAGGGTTGTTATGGTGGAAAAAATAGGAGCTAGGTGTGTTTGATATGTTTACTGCCTTGAGTTATTTGTAAAAATAATAAAAGTGGGCTATAAAGGAGAAGCCTGTTTTGAAACCCAAATTATTCAAATTTATAAGAAAATATTTAAGTTTATATTAATTCACTGCCTGAAAGACAATTATTCTGAATATTGCTTACATACACAAACAGTATTGAAAGGATTTTTAAAAAAGTGTTTAAAATTGGGCTGGCATCTGGCTTTCAGCAGGAATTATTAAAACAAAGGTTTTATTATGCTTTAGCTCTGCCTTGGTCATGGAAAGATATGGGAATTCAGAAGTCTTCTGCTACTTATTCACCTCTTTTTTTAAAAAAAAAACAAACATTATTACACTGAGAAAATCAGAAAAACATGTCCAAAGTTTTTGGATTTTTAATGCCAGCAGGGAATTGACTCCCTAAATTAAAAAAAAAAAATTCGGCAAGCCTGCTTTAAGAACATTATTGTAAAATTGTATTGTAAGTTGCTAACATTTTGCATTTACATAACCCTTTTTGCAAAATACCATGAAAGGAAACGAGAGAACAAGGGAAAGTATGTATATGTGCACAGATGAGTGGCAGCGTATTTCCAAAGAAGTATTTCCTTGTTTAACTTTCATAATCTCTATTAAAACAACTTCTGGAGAAAGGAAAAACTCTCTTTTGCATGCTGTCATATACTGTAGTTCTATAGTTTGCATGTAGAAGCCATGCTGTTTCAATGTAGAAATGGGAAATTTTCTGTTCATTTTTATTTTATAGGAGACAACTTCAGATCAACTTAATAATGGCCTAGTTGTCGGGACAGCTGATTTTTATCAATATATGCCTTGGTCTTCTACAAAACCAAAATAAAAAATTTCCAGAATGAATCCTTAAAGGATTTGAATTGTTTAAACTCACTTTCTGAATTGTTTATGAAGTTTTTTTAAGTAGGCTTTTATTGTTTTCTATTGTTTCACTATTTTTTATTTCTGTTTTATTAATTTTCCAGGAAAATGGGAAGGAATAATGCTGATACAAATGTACATTTAAAAGAGTGTAGAAATTATAATAAATAAAAAAATATGCAATTAAAAAAGTAATACAATATGAGTGGATAATGAGCAAATAACTAGCAGGTCTAAAATAACAAATAAATACTTTATTTATTTATTTAATAAATAAATTTATTCATTCATATATTCATTCATTCATCTTGTCTGATATGGCTGTCCATCTCTCCAATGCAACTACAGAAAGAAGAATTGAAATGAAACATACATTTTTTAAAAAATACCTAGTATAAGAGATGTCATACTCATTTCCAGGCAAAAGATGTATTTAATAAATTGTAATGGTATTTGATTAACACAAGTGAAATCAATAAAAGTAAAAAGAAAAGCTATAAATAGTGAACAATACATTGAAAGAACATTGTATATGATACATCAAATTAAAATATAATATCTTGAAATCAAACTTGTGATGTAGCACTAAGCTAATATTTTGGATGTTTGGTCACTTCAGTCAAAGAGCTCTAAAGGTGAGATTACAGTTAGCTTCTTTTGTAATCAAATACTTTATGTGAGTTTTCATGAATTATTACCATTTGAAGTTTACAGAGTATTTGGTACACTGTGCAATTACCATCCTTTCTTCCACTTGCTAGCCCAGAACAAGTGCAGATTAATATAGATAGGATAAATGGGTTTTTTTTCAATACTTACATTATAATTTGCAGAATTCTGTCAACTCTACAAAGAACCTGGCTGCAGCCATCTTTCTCTTCATTCTAGGTTGCCACACAGAATGGAGGGAGGGGGGTTTGCCCAGGTGCTTCACTAGTCATAATAATCTTCTGTCCCATGGGAACCCAGGTCATTTACTGCTCCTGCGATCAGAGATTGGGTGTTGTATTAGAAATCCCGCCAAATGAATGTATTGGGGAACATAGTGATGGCATAGTTTTGTAGGTGGGACATTATACTTTGTAACTGGGAACTTTTAGTGGGAATTTCAGAATTGGTTTCACTTTTGATTGTGCCAATACTTTGTAAATAATAAACATGTTCTTTGAGGAATTTTAAAGCCTCGGAGTTCTGCTTTAATCATCACTGTCTGTTGGAATTATGACAGTTTCTTTGATGTGATTTAAGCCTTTTCAGTTTTAAAAAAGAATGTTACCTTATGAAATAGTCTATTCTGAATAACATTTTCTTTTAATATAATTCTATCAAATCTTGCTGTATGTGAGTGAAAAGACACTACAGCTACCAATACACTGATTAGTACTTTCTTGCCTAAAGCAAATGACAGTTACTGTAAATAGAGATTAGACCCAGGCAGAGGCACTCACAATTGTGTTCATAGTAGCAGCGTTGTCTCCCATCACCAATTATCTCAAGTTTCCAGAAACACATTTAGTCTTTTCAAAATGAACCTGGCATTTTGCAGAGAAAAACAATTAACACAAATATTTTATTTTAAAAAGACCAAAGCTACTTAGAAATAATCATTGTGGAAATAAGGCTGAGAATATTTTCTTCCTCTTCTGTAAATTTTTCGTTTATTGTTGTATAAATACAAAAATGTACTGTCTTCCAAAATCACAGCTACATTTACTTTGAAATGAACTCATACCAGGATTTACTAAGCCAATTATTGCTGCCATATAAACTGGACCTGTTCCTGCATGAGGAAGTTCTTAGATGTATCCAAAAAATTTTCTAATGCCTGAATAAGGAGGAAAGAAAGTTTATCTGAAAATACAGGACTGTTTAGAGGAACTACACAAATTTCAAAGATATTTCTTAAACATAACTTTATAATGCAATGTGTGTAATGCAATGAAATCTCATATTTACCCTTGGAATTCTTATTATTGCTCTGTTGTAAAATCATAATTACTTGTGGAATAAATTAAGCTTGTGACTGTTCTGGGTGAATGAATAATATTGCTTTCGTTAATCATCAGAGAGAAACCAATAGTAATGAAACTTTTCACTTTCTGTCAGAATCCATATTTTCATATATTGTCCTTTTTGGGTTCTGCCATTCTCCTGGGGGAGGGTTACTTCCTCTGCTTTACTCTATCCACTTTGATGTATCTGTTTTGGGGCGTGAATAGAATGTGCCTCCAGGCCATCTGCCTTATCTCCAGGAGGAGGGAAGAAGCTGTGGAGACCTAACAACCTTGAGAAGAGGTGCCGTATCGGTTCATTCCCACAGAAAAGTGACACCTATGGATTGGCCTGTTTGAACCAACTGGATGGACAGTTGGGGTGGGGTTTCAACTGCTCCTTTAACCTATTGATTCAGGTGGGAAACTCTCAGATCCTGCCTAGCTTTCCTGCTGTCTGTACCTGTCAATAAAATTTCCTGTTGAAATGATATCTGTTTCAAGAGTTCTGCTTTCTTGGTAGGAGTAGTACATTAGATAGGATCTGCAAAGTGGTCAACCTGGAGGAAAACTTCCTACCGCAGGGACCATGCAAGACAATGTCTAACCATGGTGGTGAGAAAGGGGTGTTCTATCCCAGCCTATTGCCGTCCTTGTTAAAGGCACAAGGACCAACCCCTGTTGATGCAATAGGCTGGAGACTTTACAACAAAACAAACCCCTTTTAATATGGGTGACAAACCTGTCAAATAGTCCAAAACACAAACAGCAAAACTCAAGTCCAAAGGAATGAAATAGTCCACAGGAAACACGATGCAAACAGAAGAGAAGTCACAAGCAAGACGAACAGACCAGGATTCCAAGAAGCACTTTGCAAACGGTTGCCTTCAGCAACCAGCACTGCCCACACCTCCTCCCTTTATTCAGCAGTCCCAAGGCATTGCCTCTCATCACCTTCTCCTTTTACTCTGGAAGCGTCGTATTGATTGCTGCTGATTTTCTCTTGCTAAATGACAACGTGTGCGAGCATCAATTAGCAAGTCCATCAGGTGTGACTCTTCCAAGTCTGACTTATTCTCCTCACACAGCTGAGCTTCATCAGGAACACGACTGGAAGGCCCAGGCTCTGCATCAAACCGTGAGTCCTGTAATTTATCCGAGCCGCCCTCTGCCCCTGATGGCCCTTCAAATACCTCCTCCACCTCCTCCTCAGATTCCTCAGACTCAGCTGTTGCAAGCACAGGCTGGCACGGAATCACAACAAGGGGAAAGTGAGCGCTGGTGGGAGCTCCGCCCCGAAAGCTTGTTTCAGCAACAGCAGCTCGGACTCTGCCAGCTCATCTGATGAAGCCAAGACCTGAGAGAAACTGAGATGGTTGATCGGAGTGAAGAAGAAAGATGATTGGGAAGCAAAGGCCAGAAAGGTGACCCTCCACCGAGGTAGCCACCAACCCGGGTGGAAGTGGGAGATGGAGAGATCACTCAACCTCAGCGAAGAAGTGGACGAAAGGCCAACCCTATCTGATTGCTTCCTTAGGCAGGCCATCAACATGATAGTGGAAGCTTTCAAGAACCTCAAGTAGGAGAAAGCAGATTCCTGCTGCGGTTCGGTAACAATGAGACTGGATGAGGAATAAGAGGTCCAGGAGAGCAAGCTTGTCAACCCTGGCCTTCCACCAGCACTTCAGAAGCCACAGGGGTAATGGCTGAAGCTGTTGCTCTAGCCTGAGCCACTCCAGCTGGGGGAGATGGATGTTGGGCCAGAAGAAGGAGGGCTTGAGGGTCCAATTGGAAAATCCCGGCCCTGGGAGTGAAATATGATGGGTCACCACAGCAGTTGGGGTTCTTCTTGGCTCAAGTCTTGAGCTACATGCACAAGTATGGGCAAGACATGCCTAGTGAACAGCAGACGGGTCAGAGTGGTGATCATGGCCTTGAAAGGCACAGCTGCCCAGTCGATGGTGACCCTGCATAACGCCGACACACCTGAGCTCCGTAATTTTAACCAGTTCATGGCAGCCCTGAGATGGAGGTTTGAGGACCCTTTGACAGACCAGAAAGTGAGAGAGCACATTAAAACCATGAGCTAAGGTCGGCAGCAGGTGGTGGAATATACTGAGGAGTTCTGAGATCTGGCCAGCTGCCTCAACTGACCAGAGGAAATCCTAGTGGGCCATTTCAAGAATGGGCTGAATGATAACCTCTACTAAGCAAGCATCGCTCAGGGAGATCCAGCCTGCCTCCATGGCTGGTGAGTCATGGCTGAAGAAGCAGAGATCGACCTGGCCTGTAGTCAATGATGGGGTGGTTGAACCTGGAGGCGCATGTTTCAAGTATGGGAAAGAGGGCCATCAAGCTGCCAAATGTTGCTCGAAAACTCGCGTGTGCAAATCAGACCGGTATGGGGAAGAGTAGCCCAGAAAGACTCTGCAACAATTCTGGGAGACCGACATGAAAGGCACCGAGGTCGTCAAGGTCCAACCCTCCAAAAATCCAGGAGGGTGAACTCCGACCCCACCAGGGAGGCCACTGGAGACTTCCGATAGTGATTCTGATGATGAGCCCCTGGTAAATGGACCCATCGCAACCCTCACCAGACCCATAGAACTGTTCAGCCCAGGAATGGAGGACAAAGTAACCCTGAAGGCTCTGTCAGGCTATAGCCTGGTAGGGAATTTGGGGATTCCAGTGAGGAGGCTGAAGAATCCAATCTCCTTTGGCCAGCTAGATGGGTCCATTGCAGGGGGAGTTCCAGCCACACTTGCCACAAAACCAGTTGAATTCATGATGGGGGATCATACAGAAACTTTGACTTTTATTATAGCCCCTAGCATGGAGTGGCCCCTGATTTTGGGAATGGTATGGCTAAAGATTTGGAACTCGAGAGTGAATTGGAGGATAGGAGAACTAGGATTCCTGAAAGGAAGGGCAATTGTGCAGGGCAGAGAGCCTAAAGCCAAAGGGAGGAAAAAATTGGAGGTAGCGGCAGCCACCAGGGAACGGAGACTGGAAGACATACCGTAAGAATACCAGGACCTGGCTGAGGTTTTCAGTGAAGAGCAGTCTGATGAATTGTCCCCCCATCGACTGACTGACTGCACTATTGAGATTCTCCTGGGAGCTAAATTGCCTAAACCCAAGGTCTATTCAATAACTCCAGGGAACTTGAGGAGCTGCAGAAGTTCATTGAAAAGAATTTGCCACAGGGTTTTATTCAATCAGCTAGGCCAAAAACAACTGCCCCTGTGCTGTTTCATGAAAAGAAAGACAGAATGCATTGCCTGTGTGTGGATTATAGGTCTTTGAATGCAGTGTGCAAAAACAATGTTTATCCCTTGCCACTGATGAAGGACATGTTGGCCCTCCTTTCCAAGGGGAAAATTTTCTCCAAGTTGGACTTGAGAGAAGATTATTACAGGGTGAGGATTAAAGAAGATGAGTGGAAAACGGCATTTAACTGCCCTCCAGGGTGTTTCCAGTTCCAAGTACTTCCCTTTAGACTGCAAGAGGTGCCAGCAGTAGTCATGCAGCTGATAAATGAGGTCCTCCATGAGCACCTGTATAAGGGAGTTTTGGTGTATTTGGACGACATCCTAATATTCACTGAGATGAAGGAGGAACATGTCTGGCTAGTCTGAGCTGTCCTAATCAAGCTCCGCTCGGCCCACCTCTATGCTAAACTCTTGAAGTGCAAGTTTCACAAAGAAAAGATTGATTATTTAGGATATCACATCTCCTACTAGGGGATAGAGATGGACCCAGAGGCCGTGCGGGTTGTGTTAGAGTGGGTTCCACTGTGCACAAGAAGACAATTGCAAAGCTTCCTGGGGTTTGCAAATTTCTACTGGCAGTTCATTCCCTCTTTCACACAGATCACTCTCCCCATTACTGACTTACTGAAAACCAGGGGGGAGAGTAAACCAAAGCCCAATCAACCATTGAAATGGACTATGGAGTGCCAGGCAGCTTTTGAAAAACTAAAAAGGCTTTTTTCAACCGAGCCAGTGCTTAAGCACCCGGGCCCAGAGAAACTGTTGATTATCCAGGCTGACACCAGCGATGTAGCAGTAGGAGCAGTACTGCTCCAAGAGAATCAGGAGGGCCAGTTACAACCCTGAGCTTACACCTCCAGGAAGCTTACTGAGACTGAGCAGAAGTGGGGAGTATGGGAGAAGGAAGCATGCACTGTGCTCTCTTAACTTGGAGACATTTTTTAGAAGGGAGCAAAATCCCCTTCCAAGTATGGACTGACCACAAAAACCTTGAAGCACTAAATTATCCCCCAAGCAAGCCTGGTGGTCCCAACGTTTCCACTTATTTGATTTTATTATCAAGTATATCCCTGGAGGAAAAAACTTTCTAGCTGATACTTTATCGAAGATGCCACAGTACAACAGCACAAAACTTGAGGTGGTCGAGCCCTTGATGACGTCTAAACAGCTACTGGCCCCAGTCACCACGAATGCACAGGCAAAGAAGCCAGCCACCTTAGACAGCACAGTGGGAGCAGAGTTCAGAGAAGCATTAGAAAAAGATGAGTG